GGGCTAATGATAACTACCAAAACGCCTGCCATTTGATATATTAATAATAATAATAATTCGACTAATTTACAAATTGAGGGCTTAGAATGCTTCATAATTTAGTTATTATGGAATGATTTGCTTGAATAAATTTGATAATATTAAATTCGCAAATAGTAATTAAATTTGTGTGTGTGTGTGTGTGTGCGCGAGGGGGGGGTGATAGTTTACGGGAAAGTCCATTTTCGCCGATACTTACGTGTAGGAGTTTTCGGAAACATCCGTAACAAATTTGTCCGTCTTTTGTTCCTTCTCCAACTCTCGCGCCTTTTCAAATGCAAATACTGGCGGAATTATCACCAAGAAAACAAAAGCCGTTGACAGCCATGTCAAGGTTATAAACATCTAAAAAGTAAGAAGAACTAACGCATTAAGTAAATCTTTTTAAGATTAAAAAACAATTGACGGGCAGAGCGTTATAATGCAGAATCAAATCTTAATTTACTCAATGAAGTAGGGGGTTTAAGTTATCATTACATTTTGCCAATACCTTTTGACATTAAAACCTAATTATACTGAATTCAATTGAAGTCCGCTTTGAGTGGCAAACCTCATTGAACCCCAAATTATCAAGTAGAGCCATACCACAGACAGCCTGGCAAAACGGTAGCTTGAACAGAGAAGTGGTCGAGACTGTAAATAGACTACTTGATCTCAATGTTTTCCACGCCCTGTAGATTTGATGCATCTGGTTTTGAACCTCCTTTCTTTTCCTCTAATTCTTACCACTGCTTTGTGAAAACTTCAATTTAATTATATTTCCTTAGCCCCATTACTTTGGAGTAACAGTGCAAGCAAAAAATTTCTATATATATATGAATATATATGTGTCTGGAATGCCACTGTAACGGAAATTTAAAGCTTTTGGCTGTTTCCATTTATCTGATCTAACCAGCTGACAGTTTTGCATTTGAACCGACTTTAGTTTTAATTAGGAGAATTTTCTATTTCAGATTATACAGGTTATTTCAGAAATCCTTTAACTTGTGCTATTGCAAGTCATTCGTAAGGTGTTGTTAGTTCCTTGCTAGGGCAAACTTACAAACGTTTGGAAACTGTCTACATAGAGTTCGTCGGAAAGTAGGGTCATCGCAGGCAGAATTGCCAAGTAGATAACGAGAAGAACAGCAATGGAGTAATTGAGAAATGTGGAAGAAAAACTAAACGCCCTTTGAACATCATCCAAACGAGGTCTTCCTTCGGTCAAAAGATGCGCGTTTCGAATTCCGAGATCCCTATTATTTGTTTTTTTTAAACAAATGTGAATAAATAAGCCTTTACGAATGACCAACGATGAATTTTTTTAATGCAACCAGTTAAAACAAGGAAATATCGGAATAAATTGTTCAATATTTCCAATTCAGTTGTTCGATCGAAGCATTTGACTTTAGCCGTGTTTATGCCTGAATAAGGCGTGAACGATAAATTTACTAAAGTTAACATTAAAATTGCCTGAAAAACAGACTTGTTACATCATAAAAATGCTAGCAAATTGAAGTGCTTACACGTTAATCTAACATAGTACCTCAATCTTAATTTATTTGTTAAGCACAGTCTGTTGGAGTGACAAATTGTTACATTGCTTGTATTCAACGCTAATAGATCTTCATAATTGCCCTCTATTCGACCCCCTATTTACTATTCTTCATAACGAAAACTAACAGTAATAAATGCTTGACCTATTCGTTGAACTTATTGTGGAATTCTGTGAACAATTTATGGTGTGTGTGTGCTTCAAAACATGCCATTGTCTACCATATTACATTGAAATATTATATAATAATAATAAAGTCTAGAGACCCAAGGTGGTGGTGAGACCACAGAAAGTATTAGAGAAGGCTATAGGATAGTTCTTGAAGGCTTAGTTGCAGATATATATTTTATAAATAAAATAGTTTAACCTACCCATGGTTTATTTGACGATTGCTTGGACCCAAACATCTGCAGCAAATTTCCAGTGCAAACTTGAATGACTACAGCTGTTTCATGTTTCAGTCAAGTCTACTCGATTCAACAACAACAACTCCTGTCTTCAAAGCCGACAATTGAAGTTCCACTTTGTCCTGTCTTCTACTGGGTAACCTTTTACTTCTTTATCCAGTTCAGGCAGGACAAATTAAATTTCTAGCAAATATCAGTGGATTATCCTCCATTTAACTACTTTTAGGAGTGTCAGCTACTCAAGCACTTACGATTAAAGTTCATTTCAAATAATATCAGTATACATTATACAAATTCTAACGTATTTGTCTTACTGAGTGAGTAATTATTGAGAAATTAAGTACTTAATTAATAAAAATTTTAAACTGTGAGGTATATCAAGACACAATAGGCGATTGGATAAATTATTAATTTGAATCCCCCCCCCCCCCCCCCCCCCCCCCCCCCCACCCCCTCAATTGCCACCTAGATGTTCGCAATGGGTGGAAATAGATTGACAGAAAGTGAAACTTTTCCAAACCAAAACGCATATGGTTAAAGTGCAATGTCCAAGCATTGTTGTGCGGCTGTTGTTCAGGCCTAAAAATCACGTGAAGAATCTACGCTATGGGTGAGTGAGTGCAGTCTATGTATCAATGTTTGACGTATTAAAGACAGCCAGTTGGTTGGCAGTGAAGGTAATAAAAATCAGATGCCCAATGGAGCAAACATTGGCGCAGTAACCTTAGAGGTCGATTATTTTTGGCAGAAGGAAATTAAAATTGGCCAAAATATTTAGTGGAACATGCTCGAAATTGAACACAATTCAGACGATTCCTGTGAGAACACGTCTAGCCTAACTCACATAGACAATTTCATCAATTCCAACTGACTATGTGGAAAATGAGATAAGGTCAAACTTAATCCTACACCAGAATAAAAAATTAAAAAATGGGAGAAGAGACCGAGAATGTGGAGCAGAAAATTTTGAGGGAGATGTTACGACCAAGGCGACTTTTCTTGAATCTTATTCTAGTGTGGTTAACAACAAATAAATTATGGTTACATGAAGCCAAGAAGAGATGAAATCTTTGAAATGTTTCGTCTTAAATTCCTTCTGAATACCTTTCTAATTATTAAATTAACCAGATCTACAATCATTTTTTATGACTCAAAGCTTTTAACATAATCAAATTTCACATTTATCTCTAAGTAATGTGTACTTCAATTAATTTAACAATTTTATTTATTAATTTCGCCTTTTAAAGTAATTAGTTATCTAGTGAGAGGTCCTTTTCTTATTACTTCATAGAAATTAGTGTATTTATTAAAACCGTAGAGAAATTTCGAACAGCTCAGTTAAAAATTCTGCTCAGCTGATATTAAAATTTTTCTAATTCACAAATCATTAAAAATAAGTTTGCTTAGAACTTTCCATAATGGAATATTATCAATGTTAATTAAAAACTTTGTCCTTTTTGTAGATTTTTTATTGAAAGAAACGATTACTAAAAAACAAACAAAATTTAACTAAACTAAAATTTAACAAAAAATCAAATTTAAACACATTTAACGACAGGGAGAGTACAAATTTCCCCCATTCTCTTCTCAGATTTTTCCCATTTACTATTTCATTAATAAAATGGCTTTGTGAATACACTGGCGATTAGCATTAAGGAGAATGTGTTTAAACCTCACTTGCTGTAGACTTCAGCCCATGGTTGCAGAGGATCATCGATTGATCTAGTTCTCTCCCAGACATCAAGCGTCTCTTCTTCATTCAGAGGACTAGTTGTAATGAATGTGGCGATGGCTGGAACAATGAATCCGGCACCACATTCTATTAATGGCGCGGCGTTGCTCAACGTAGCACTGACTAAAAGCATTATAATAATATTAGTAATATTTAAAAAAATTTCTTTACTTCAAATATCACCTTTTCAATACACCCTTTTTCAACGACTTAAAGAATGATAACTTTCTTGACCACTAAGCTAAACCATAAAGTTTTCAGTCAGTGAATTCAATAAACGCACTACTTTCAGTAGGTTGAAAGAAAATGGCCTAAAAGAGGCGAGAGCGTACGCAAACCATTTTAGAATGTGCAATCCAAGCAATGAAAGAGATGAACCCTGTTTACCATTTAACTAAAATAAATTGATTTAAGCGTTACATTTTACCCGTTTTTATTCGCCACCATATAGCGCAGTTAATTCGTTAAAACACCATAGAATCGATTCGAATGTAGATAAGCGTGTGACGCTGGACAAAGGGTGGCCATTACCTTCTTAACGCAACTTTCATCTTTCAACTTGACGTACCTAGCTATGTCCATTGATAGCCAATCTTGATTAAATTTCGTTTTTTTGGATAAAAAGTTTAGCTCTTTGGATCAGTTGTTGTTTTTAGTGAGAAGTAAAATGCTGATCTCATTGAGAAAATTTCCTTAATGTCGACTCATCGATCTGGTTCCTGACCTAGGTTCTGCACAAGAGAGATATTTTTTGGTTTTCTTGAGAAGGTAGGTCTTTCTTCTCCTGAGTCAAATTGCACTCTTTCCTCTTTAAAGCGTTGAATCGTCCAATCATGAATGTCTTCTCTACATGGCGCAGAGGTTCTTTCTTCCAGTTGTGAAATTTTTATGACCTGAACACATTTCCAATTTAGTTTAGTCTAACTCTGTTCCCAAATCATTCAGCACTTTGATGGATTGAACGTTGTTAGGTATTTCGTGATGTAACCTGTCTTGATCCCGATCTGACACAGAATGACTTGTTTGAACTTGAAAAAACCTGCGCACTATGTTCCTCATTAAAGTTATAGCATTTGTTTGAGGATTTTCGACTCAAACTTGTAGGTTGGACAAAAGGAACTCATGATTCTAAAATCATTAAAAGGTTTCCCTATGTAAATAAAAGTTGCTCATATTTTAGGTTAAGATAATGTTAATTTAACAACAATAGACAATCTAGATGTTTGGCGCAAGAAGTTGGTCGTTTTCATGAATCAGTGCCTGAAAAAACACTCTGTAGCAAAATCTAACAAAACTTCTTCATTTGCTAATATAACACGAATTTTGGAATGGAATTAAGGGAAGGCGGAGTTCCCGCCAAGGAACTTTCACTCCTCTCCAATCGGCCTGAGCTCTTTTCCTTTGTCTTCAGTAGAAATATCTCCTACATTTGCTTTGAACATCTAACGTGGGATGAAGTCGCGAGGAATCTAATTTTAGAATATACATGCTATCTGCTGCGCACCAAAGCTATTTTAATTTCCATTGGTGAAACGTCTCCCCCCCCCCCCCAGTACTTCAAACTTGAATGAGAAATGATTTGTGCAGTGTCTGAAATTAAAAATAACTAGAGTTTAATTTTATCATAATTTATCGATTTAGGAACGGAATATATGCAAAGGTTTACGGCGTGCTTACTCGTGTCACCTGAAGTCATCGAGCAGTAACCGATCAGAAATTTCATTTTAGCGTTGAACTCAAAGCATTATTTTGGGATTCATTATTAGAAATGAGCTGGTATGCGCTTTATTTCATTATTCACGTCTAAAAAGCTAATTGGTGGAATGCGCTAATGGCAATTTTGAAGCAATTCTAAGCTCCAAATTTTTTGCAGTCTTTCTCCATTCTCGACTGGATTTCAGGTGGTTTAGACCTTGAGCTGCGACTCATTAGTTAAGATTCAAATCATTTTTTCTTTGTCGAGGTCTTCTAGTTCTCTTTGGAGTTACAGTGTTAATCCTTCTTCTTTCCAAGACATTTGGCTGTCAATTTTCTGTCTTGTTTATATGGAGCTTGGGGTGGTTTGGTGGATCACTGCCTTCAGTGGTAATCATCGTAGTTTAATCAAATTAAAATTGGAGAGAAAATGCAACTAGATTGATTTGAATTAAATATCTATAATTTATCCCCTTAGATGTGTTTTAGAATGAAGAGGAATTGACCAATTTGACACAATTTGACGCCAATTATGCTATTTTGTCTCTTTTTCCACCTTCAAAAATCGAGACACTAGCCAGCTGGTGGATTTTACTTTATGAGTTTGATAGCAAACTGCGATCAAATACTAAATCCCACACGATGAACTATTCCCCCCAACTTACTAACCAAGTTCATTATCGATTTTCCTTGTTTGTCTAATTCACACAGACTATTTACTAAGCTAACTTGTTTTACACTAGGCTCCTAGTGACTAGACGTTCAATTTCAATTGATTCCAGCTTTCTTATCTTGTGACAGTTCATGGGACTGAAATTCAAATATCTGTCTATATTTTTAAGTCGCCGGAACGTCCATTGAAATATTTACATAATATTTTTATTTTGAAGACTTGTAGACCATAAAGATAGGCAGGAAAAAAATCCAAACTCACTGAAAAATGAGGCAGCACTAAACCCAATTCCACTGAGTACTCCAACAATAAGTCCAATGATGACAGCTAGGGGTGTAACGCGTGCCCAGTAGAAGGCGTAGTAGATACTTCCAATTAACGAGGCGCAGAGCGTGCTTATGTGGTACCGCAATTCAACCGTAGAGATCTACCAACGCAAAACAAATATCTGAAATCGACTAGAAGGCATAGTCCTATTGTCTACATGGGGATGTTTGAAGGTCACTCATTTAAATAGGTCCATTTTAAGAATGGACAACATGAATTTGTCTGAATGGCTTATTACTTCAAAATAACAGATAGGAATAGTAACATTTAATTTAGTTCAGAAAATTGAGTTCATTTTACCCATTGAAAATCGATTAGCATTGCAGCTGATAGAAAGGCTGCGAGGATTACGTAGATGGTGTAGATGCGAACTTTGGTGGAATGTTCGATATATCGACGATATTCTGCATGAATGGCACAACGAGGATAATATTTGATTCCTTTGCGCGCAAACTGTCTCTCTCTGAAATTAAGAGTTAAGGAATAAGAAAATCTGTTTGTCAGAGAGAGTTAGTTAGCTATTTTTAAATTATAAAAGAGGTGGCTATTCCTGATGAGTAGTGAGATGATGAATGAAGCATTCAATTTAATCAGCTTAGGGGTGCGCGATAGACTTACTTCCTCGTGGTGCACCCTGGACAACGTATTTTCTTACGGCAAAAAAGTCTATCACTCGGCATTCGTTTTTGACTTCGATTAATTATGATTAGCTTTAAACAATGCTATAAGAAAAATCGCCCTCGTCAGGGCAAATCACATCTATAACAAATTAGTTAAATATGGAGAAATATGAGATGCCTTGTTTAGGGGTATGCATATAATGAAGTAGTTCGCATTAAAATCAAAACGAAATTTCAGTAAAATTGATAGGTTTTTAATGAAAAAAGCAACCATTAAAAATCAGTTCCATTTTGTTCATTAGATAATTAAAAATGAAGTAAATGAGCGTTTACTTAATTTTTAAATGATTTGCTAATTACGTTGCAAAGCTGCCATGTTAAAAAATATTGAGAGTGATTTCATCCATTTCTGCGTTAATAACTTTACGTACGTGGGGTGCGCGATAGACTTACCTCCACGTGGTGCACCCTGGACAACGTACGATAGACTTACCTCCACGTGGTGCACCCTGGGCAACGTACTTTCTTACGGCAAAAATTCTATCACTCGGCATTCGTATTTCCTTACGGAAAAAAGTATATCACTCGGCATTCGATTTTGACTTCTATTTATGATGATTAGCTTGAAAAAAGGCTATAATAAAAAAACGCCCTCGTCAGGGCGATTCACAACGTCTTCAGATCCTCCATTGGAATGCTGGAGGAATGTCCCCGGACGAAAAGATCCAAGTACAGAAAATCCTACAAACCTATGACGTAGACATTTTCACAATTATGGAAGCTAACATTTCGGATGACAAACTGAAGTACTACCAATTCCCAGGTCACACCCTGCACATTCTACCTAAATACCGGCAAGTTGCAAGTGGAATTCTGACTGGAGTTAAAGAAGGCCTCACCTCACACTACGATCAAATCAAGAGTATGGGCTCGATAAAAGACATGTGAAATAATCAGATTAAATGTTTGGAAATGTCAAAATCACTTCAAGATATCTACAGTCTGTAATCCACACCAGAAA